TTATTCATTTTGTGAATGAATACAGATAAAAACTTGTAATTTAAGCACAATTCACCGATCTCAGCACGAGCTACAAAGTGAGAGCCTAAGATGGATCTACCTTTGCAGACATATTCGGGACTCTTCTGTGTTGTAATCAATCCATACAAACGATTACCGATATATACAGATTCCGTAGCAGCGATGTATGTCGGAAAGCGGCGAAACGAAATGCCACCGCATTTGTTTGCCGTATCCGACGAAGCATATCGTAATATGCTGCAGGATCATGAGAATCAATCAATGCTTATTACCGGCGAATCCGGAGCTGGCAAAACAGAAAACACTAAAAAGGTAGCAAGCATTATTTTATTGCCTGAACATGAGGCAGCAGTATGATGCAAAATTTAGTCATGGGAAAGCAGAAGGCAAAAGAAACACTGTGCATTCCTTACGATTACTATGTGTTTTTGCTCTATCGTGTATTTTTGCTCTAAAATAGCAGTAATTAGATCGTTAACGGCGTTACAGTCTAACAAGTAGACACATGTTGGCTGTGATTTTAGCATTTTCTTGTGTGCAGGGAGAAAAAGGCGTTGGCTAGCATGCATGGCTGTTAATTTTGCATGAAGACCGATCCATTTTTCGGCGAACGGCTGTTTATCTGAAACTGCAAATCTGGTTGTGTACAGGATGTCATTAGCGACGCACACCGGACGTGCCTGTGTGATCATGTGTTTTTGCGGTATTTCGTGCTTAAGTAAGATTGCTTGGAATCCCAATAGCCAGAATTTCTAGCATACTGGTTTTCGAAGTCCAGCAAGTTAACTGTGCAAGCAACTACGTGGTACTTGCATAGAAAACATTCTTTTAGCTTTTTAGGTAAAATTTTTGCTTTTTAGTTTTTCTAGTTCCAGAGTTAGCGATTTTCTTGCCAAAAATTTCACTGGCTGGTACGTGACAGTTAAGCACATCTGGGGCTGAAATTGAAATCTTTGAGTTCTAGATGGACGAGGATCATTCGCTTACAGTTTCAGATGCCCAGCTTTACTGGTTCTTAAGTTAGCGATTTTCTCGCCGAAATTTTCACATGCTTCGTACGTGGGAGCTTTATTAATTGCTAAGTTGAAAATAGGTGGCAAAGTTATATACTCCCACAGCAGTAAGCCCTCAACAATGTGCGTTTTTGCCCAACAATAGCAGCAAAAACGCATAAAAACACGAAAGTTGTTTAATGTACGTACAATCCAGGAATAACTTTCGCACACATTTAGATGCATTTTTTACTTACCATGACGCATACTTTTTATGCGTTCTTACATATTTATGTAAATGCAGAAACGCGTAACGGCCAGAGATTGGCTTTTGTGTGTATGTTTGTGTTCGTATTTTTTATCATTCACTTTCAACTCGAGAACCAGAGAAGCTAGGAGACTGACTCAGTGGACATGTTCCCACTTCATATGTGACTCTTATCGTTCGCGTATGCTTGGTCTCACAGCGACCACGTGAAAATTTTGAGAGGAAAATATTACTAACTCGAAGAATAATAGAAGTAAGAGTTTGCGAGGTTCTGGGTAGGCAGATCATTCTCTGCCTATCCAAAAATTGCGAACTCGAATTCAGCTCCCGCGTGTGCCTGTATGCGTAGGTATCAAGTACAACCACGTGAATTTTTTGGAGTGGCAGCCTTTAACACTGATACGTTAAAATCCTCAACCAACGTTCGCTGGAGAGAGCGCACAACCCATAACTGCACTAGCTACTCCGATATGCGCCACTATTTGTTTGTCCCTTTCACTTTCTGCCATTTTCGAACACTGGTAACTTTACGCGTTTATAACCTCGCCTTCTTATCAATTCAATTACGACTTGGCACTCAGCAATTGCTTATCGCATATTACTCAACTCAGTTTCAAACGGCTGATGCAGATCAAAAAATTGAAAATTGTAGTGATTATGTCGTTTCACCTGATTTAAGGAACACTCCCTTACTTATTGTATAGGCAACCTAAAGTTTCAGGTTATAGCGTACTTTGCATCCGTTGGGGCCAGCCAGCAGCAAGGAACGACAATCGGACAAAAAAAAGTGACTCTGGAAGACCAGATTGTGCAAACAAATCCAGTCCTCGAAGCTTTCGGAAATGCCCGAACGGTGCGCAACAACAACTCATCAAGATTTGGCAAATTTATCCGCATTCACTTCTCGAAACTTGGAAAAGTTGCTTCGTGCGATATTGAGCATTGTTAGTTTTTGCGCGTTTTACATATATGCAAATGCAAAAATGCATACTACAAAATGCA